CGCTGGGTCTCCTTGCTGCAGGGGGGTCAGGTGACCAGTGGGGTGGGGGGAGGAGGGCCTAAGGCAGCTCCCTGCTTGTCTTGGCACCACAGACTGTGCTGTGCCCCAGAAGCGGCCAGCAGCAGGCCTGGCTCCTATGTGGGGGATGGGGCACACAGGGCTCCATGCACTGCCCCTGCTCCACGCACTAGCTCCACACTCCCATTGGCTCAAGGTGAGCCCCTCCTGCCCCAGCCCTGAGCCCCCCCAAGTCAGACCCCCCAAACCTCTCCTCCTCAGCCCCTCCCCAGAGCCCACACTCCAGTCACATGATGGTGGGTCACGGCATCGAGCATTTCCTTCAACTGGGTCATGAGAAAAAACGTTTGAAAACCGCTGGCCTAGGTGACCTCCTGAGGGTCTCTTCCCTCCGTTATATTCTCTGACTCGGTGCCATCCAATCCACTGGGGTGTCCATCTGAGCAGAAGGGTGGACACAGGACAATGGGCAAACAGGAGCATTTCGTTTCTATACCTGGACTCAGCTTGGTGGTGCCTACGGGATAGGGATAGGCCGGAGGGCTTTTTGGGGCAGTGCTACTATCGATAGTGCTGTCCCATGACCTCTGGGGGCAACGAGCAACATCAACAGTGCTCCGTGTCACTAGAGCAGTGGTCCCCAACCTTCTGAAGCACACAGTCACTTTCTGAATTTAAATGCCACCCAGGATCTACCTCAAACCCAAAGACCCTGGCCCCACCTCCTTCGTGCCTCTTCTGAGGCCCTGCCCCTGCTCACTCCGTCCTCCCATCTCCCTCCCTTTCACCAGGCAGGGGCAGAGGGTTGGGGTGCAGGCTCTGGTCTTGGGTTAAGGGATATGGAGTGTGAGGGGGGCTCTGAACTGAGCCTGGGGAAGGGAGCTGGGGTTCAGGGTCTCTAAGGGTATGTCTACACTACCCCCCTAGTTCGAACTAGGGGGGTTAATGTAGTCATACGGAGCTGCAAATGAAGCCCGGGATTTGAATTTCCCGGGCTTCATTTGCATGATCCCAGCCGGCGCCATTTTTAAATGCCAGCTAGTTCGGAATGCGTGCCGCGCGGCTACACGTGGCACAAACTAGCTAGTTTGGATTAGGCTTCCTAATCCGAACTAGCTGTACACCATGAGGTTTGGATTAGGAAGCCTAATCCCAACTAGCTAGTTCGTGCCGCTTGTAGCCGCGCGGCACGCAGTCCGAACTAGCCGGCATTTAAAAATGGCGCCGGACGGGATCATGCAAATGAAGCCCGGGAAATTCAAATCCCAGGCTTCATTTGCAGCTCCGTATGACTACATTAACCCCCCTAGTTCGAACTAGGGAGATAGTGTAGACATACCCTAAGGGAGTTTGGGTCCAGGGGGCTCAGAGCTAGGGCAGGGGTGTGGGGTGTAGAGGGGGTACATGATTGGGGCTGGGGTTCGGAGCTGGCTCCAGCTGGACACTGCTTACCACAGGGGGCTCTGGGGTGGTGGTGCAGTGGGGCTAAGGCAGGTTCACCCCTGCCCTGGCCCTGCACCGCTCTCCAAAGCAGCCAGCAAACTCCTTCCATCCCAGGTCCTGTTGTGCCCCCTCCCCCGCAGTCTGTGGAGATAGAATATAGGGTGGGAGAGGGGCACCCTGACATCAGCCCCCTTCTCCTCTCCCTTCCCTGCTCTGTATCTCATGCAGGAGGCTTCTGGGGGTGAAGCAGTTCCAAGGCAAAGGGCAGGAGATGTGCAGCAGTAGGGGAAAGGGCAGCTGAAGTGCTGTGCTTGATCGCCTCTTGGCCAAACCAGTCAGGATCATCTGTCAGAGGCTCCAAGATCTACCGGTAGATCCCGATCGACTGGTTGGTGGCCACTTCCAGGGCTGGCCTTCCCATGAGGTGAACTGAGGCAGCCGCCTCAGGTGCCAGACTGGGGGGGAGGAGGGGGGCGGGGAGGGAGCCACTAGGTCCCAGAGTTACGTGTTACTTTCAATTTTTGAACAAGGCATTTTAAGTTGTTAGTTCTTCTTTATTGGGGTAGGTAGCAGAGCAGTCCCATGAGAGGAGTAGAACAGGAAGAAGGCAGAATTGAGACCTTGCAAATTTTGGCCCAAGCGAGGGAGCATGGGGGCATCATTTGAGCTCCCCACCACAGGTGTCAAAGTGCTGTGGGCCGGCCCTGACCACTGCCCTAGAGCAAACGAGTCCTTAGGAAAGAGAGAGCTCGTGTTAATGCAGCGCTCTCCAGTGATCGGGAAGGAGACAGGACAAATGCAGAACACACACACAAGAAGTATCTGCCTCCACAGTGCTTCTCCACACGCTGCCCGCCTGTCTTTACAGACACACAACGAGAAAGAGAACATTTAACCGGCTCACACAGGAAGACTTAGACAGTTCTTATTTGATAAAACAGCAGGGCCCGGTACACTTCAGGCGCCTCTTAGGCAGACTGTTTTCCTCCGTGATGAAGGCACCAGCATCACAGGACACCAATTCAAATGACAATGGACAGCTCAGACTGTGGTCACCCACAGCGAACTGTTTACCCGTCAGCCTTCAAACTCTCCTCTGCCTTTCAGAAACAGCCAATCAGGTTCTCTACTGCCTTCACTGATAAGGCACATGTATTTGGAGAGAAAACAGTGATATGAACCAGACTGGAGAAGCTTCAAGAATTCAACTTCTGTCCATAGCCCCAGAAAATAACATGATCCTGTCGGAGGGACCAGGACAGACGACTAATTCCAAGGGTATGAAGTCAACTTCCATGACGAGACAGAGAGTTGTGTCATTTGGACAGGGATCCAAATTCATCCTTGGTGGCTTTCCATTCAGGTTAATGAAGCGACACTAAGGATAAATATAGCCAAATGGATTAATTTTTTTTAAGCGTGTGAGTCTAAATTGCTGCTGAAAAATTTGTGTGCAGTTCTGTTGTCCCTGTAGTCGGGAAGCGGTGTGCAAAAGTACTAGTATGCATTACTGTTGTCCATTTGCATGTGCAAAGTTCGGATTTTGGAGGTTTATCTTGGCTATTCACATTTCACCACTCCTTAGATATGGTTTTTTCCCCATAGGAAACTGACCCTTTGAACAGTAAATTCAGTGGTATATTTTTGAAATATGCGTTCTGCTCCAATTCTGTTTCTCTAGGTCAGATCTAGAAAATAGTTCCCAAATTCTGCATTTTCACTGTGCCATTTGAATCACATAATATATTGCCTGAATCCAAGCCCATGTTCCTAACTGGACTGTGGATAGCAAGTCTGTTGCCGAAAATGAACACCGCTGCAGATAGTGAATGCTATACCTAATATTATTTTCATGGTTTTGCAAGTAACGATGGTACTTTTTTGTATACATTTTAACTGAGGAAGGGGGAAAGAAAGGGGAGATCATATAACTGGAAGAAGAGGAGATAGGAACTAAGGAGCCCTGATTAAGTGGTCCCTGATTTTTGATCTCTCATCTTGTAAATAAACTGAGTGACTCCACTGAAGTGAATGGAATCCCATTGGTGTGAATGAGGTCTTGTCTCCACAGGAACACTTTGGAAAGTTAATCCAAATTAACCAAATATGTGAATTTGAAGTGGATTAGTTGAACTGACTTAAACTACATGGCAATACCCTCATTCGGAATTAAAGAGTCATTAATTCAGTTCACTTTAATTCTCTCCCAAAGTGAAATAAGTTATATCTAATTAAGGCTACTAATTCTGAATAACAGAATTTAATGTGATTTAACTAATTCACTTCAAAGTCACACTTTTGGTTAATTCATATGATCTTTCCCCGTGTACACAGATTCTGAGAGGAGAATCGGGTCTCAAGGCTCTGTTTCTCTTCCTTTTTCTACCACTTGAAAACCTCAAGATGGTTTAGTTGGGGCAGGGATCAAGATTTTAGTCTTTTGGGACCGTGCCTAGCACAGTGGGTTCCTGCTCCATAGCTGGGAGCTCCTAGGTACTATTGTAAACCAAAAAAATAAATCAACATCATCTTCTTGCCCACTTCTCTTCCTTGGGGCTGGGATGGTCAATTTCTTCTTATGACATTTTTCCAGGGTATTCTGATGATCTTCCTAATCGTAGGATGTTTGACTGCCCACTGACTAGTCAAGTTTGTGATTTACACAGAACACTCATTTGGAGGTAGATGTTTCATGTGGCCACTGCAAGCCCATTATACCCAATCTTGTCTATGTTAAGCACATTTGCACCAGTGTAGATAAATCATTCCCCATGTATGCTCTTAGGGTACATCTACACAGCAGTGTTATTTCGGAATAACTGACGTAATTTTGAAATAACATAGTGTGCATCTACACAGCAAGCCGTTAGTTTGAAATAATGTCAAGATGGAGGACTTCTTACTCCAGTTTCTGTAACCCTTGTTTCATGAGGAGTAAGGGACGTCGAAGCACGAGTGTTCTTCCTTCGACTTATTCCTGTGTAGACAGTGCCAAAAGCCGAATTAATCTATTTGGAATTCAGCTACGCAATTGAAGTAGCTGAAGTTGCATAGTTTAATTCAACTTTTGTCCTGCACTGTAGACATGCCCTTATAGACTGTGATCCAGCATCCTTAACCTCCTCTTTGAGAAACTAAATAGACTGACTTTCTGGAGTCTTACTGGAAGGCATGTTTTCGAGTCTTTAATCATTCTCACGACTCTTCTCTGAACCCTTCCCCATTTAATTCAGTCTCGGCAGCTGCTTAGATGGCTGTCAGGAAAGAATCATCGCTCCCCTCAGTGTACTCTTTATTCTTTTCTTCATGACAGAGAGCATCTGTGTTCAGCAGAGAAATACAAAGTTACCTTCAGGATTTCTATACGGTGAATGGAACTCCAATATCCACCACATAGCCAATTACCCTGCATGACCTTAAGATGTTACCTTCATGTCCACTATAAAACACTGCTATGGACTGCATCCAAACTTTGTTGTGTCCGGGAAAATACAAATATCAGGAACATGCCCTCCAAATAGCCACCCGACTGGGATCAAACCTGCTCTCCGATATGTGGGACAGTTCCTAGCTCATGTTAACACGAGACATTGGTGTGAACCAATGTTCCCTCTAATCCTTTTCATCCATGTGCAGAATACATTTTTATGTGCACTGAGGCATGTGAAATGTGCATGATCAATAGAAACACAAAACCTACCAGTGGGAGCTCTGCCAGTCAGCTGGGCAGCATTTTAATATCTCCTGAGCGGCCGTGAAAGCTCACAGCTTACAGGAAACGCTGAATTGAACCCCATTCTGCAAGAAACGGTGGCTTCATCTCACGGCCCAACAGTATTGGCAAACACCTTGCCTTGGAGAATCAAATGGTATTTTGACCGGTGATTAAAATACTCTTTTAACTGGCATCAGAACAAAAAGGCAGGCAATTTGGGCCTAGCTGGTCCATTGTTAATAGGCTAGAGACCTTTTTCACTCTTGGTGGTGTAAATCTGAGGCAATAGCATGCACATGAACAGTGTTACACCAGAATAAAATCAATCGAAGAAGAGTGGGTCCCGTCGTTGCTTTTTACACAGACCTGTGCAAGTAAAGAGGACAAATATGTTTACATTGAGGGGGGGGGATAGTTGTGATGAGTTTCGTTCCTCCTAAATGAGTCTCCTTCATTTTGCATTGGACAGCATCTCTCTCTGATGAAGACTTTTGCTGTGTTTCATGCCAGGGCCAGATCTCTAAGGGGTGTCAATCCACTAAGATCCACTGACATCCTGTCTTAGCAGCTGACTGTCAAGCAAAGTGTCTCACTGAACAATCTGTACCATTGTCTTTTGCGCTCATACCTGGATGCCTTACACCAGGCAGAACAGCCAAGTGACAGCTTCCACGTGAGTGGAAAGCTTCCACATTTGAACAGTCTCAGCCTCACAGCTCTGGTGCTGCTTGTGCATTTCAACGTCCCCTTCATTCCTGAAGTGTCTCATCTGATGTTGTTTTTTCAGCATGAAGATTGTTTGCTATTGAAATAGCGAAGTGCAGCTATCACCTTGATTTTCCAAAGTGGTGCTTGGTTTCTGATCAGATCTGCACCAACATCAACAGCGGCAGATAGAGCCAATTGTCAGGACTGACTGGTAACGTCAGCATAGCTTGAGACCCTCCCTCCAACTCAGATTAAAGAGAGAAGAGACTGAACAGCGGAAGGCAGCAAAGTGCTGGAGAACACAACAAGCTCCCCCCGGCTTTTGCAGGTAAGAGGAACAGACAGCTTTAGCTTTGTGTGAAAGATTCTAGCTTGGGTATGCCTTTGATTATTGTTGTGTACTGGCAAAATGCTGCTGCTGTCTTGGACTTTTTTTTCCCTTTGCAAAGCCTGCAGAGGAGTTGGGAAACCTTTGCCCTTTGTGGATTTGTTTCCCTGCAGAGGAATTTTGGAAAGTGCCTGGGGAAAATAATAGCCACAAAGAAAGCATCAGACAGAAAGATGTAAATAGACGGGAACTGCTCCCGCAGTTATTCTACACCTGTGTTTGTTTGCAGGAGCATCTTTTCCTCCTTTTTTTCCTGTATAAATATTGAACTTTTGGGACCGGTGGCATCGTTGTGTGTGTGCCGAGTCTCACATACTATTACACTTTTATTGTCTTAGGGATGTTTTTGCTACTGAATAAGGTCTGGGGCTAAAGTTAGCTGTACTTGAGAGTTCTTTTCTTTTCAGACAAGCCCATTCAATCACAGCTTTTGTTTTTTTGTTTTGTTTTTTTCTTTTCGCAGGGCTTTAGGAAGCGACCGGGTTGCCTGCAGTGGCCAGATTCCCACTGGATTGGGCTGGAAAGCAGAATCCCCATTCACTGGAGGTAAAAAGATTGTGGAAGCCCCTTGACCCAGAGGAACAGACGCACTAAACACTAAAGTCTTCCCACTGGCCGGGGCAGAAAAGCAAGTGGCAGCAGTGTAAGTAACGGCAGCAGACTTCCTGTGAATCCCCCGCTCGTAAATCGTTTGCGGGGCACAAAGCTTGCCTGGGTTGGCTTCCCTCCCACCCAAGAGGGATCTTTGCTCCAGCTGATTCATCCTGAACAGCCAGACCACTTGAGCACCGCCCAGCAACCACACAGACTGAGGTGCGCAAGACTGAAGAGCTTTTGTGGGTTTTTTATTTCCCTTGCTTGCTTGGTGTGAGGAAGCCCCAGTTTTACCAGCAGGGCTTCTTTTAATGGCGTTTTGTCCCCCCCCCACGGCTGAGCTAAACATTTCAAATTTTACAAGGTGACTAGACACGCAGGTTCCCGCCTTCCTTCAGAAAGTCCCTGCTCTCCCGATGAACTGTGAACCTCGCTCCACCAGCAGCAAGGAGCTCTCCCTGCCAAGCTCTGCAATGAAACCAGAACGCCGTTCCTGATCCGAGGAAGCAGGCATGGGAAATCACTCCCGGGAAAGCAATCTGACCAGCCCCTGCAATGATACGAATGACTGCAGGGATTTGGACAATGGCACGAGGTCCAACTTCACCTTTCCTGACCAGTCTACTGATTTTTATGTTGTCCTCCCCATCATTTACTCTGTGATCTGTGCAGTGGGGCTCACGGGCAACACCGCCGTCATCTACGTGATCCTCAAGGCCCCGAAGATGAAGACTGTCACCAATATGTTCATTCTGAACCTGGCGATAGCCGATGACTTGTTCACTTTGGTCCTGCCCATTAACATTGCTGAGCACCTTTTGCACTACTGGCCCTTTGGAGAAATCCTCTGCAAGATCATCCTGTCCATAGACCACTACAACATCTTCTCCAGCATCTATTTCCTCACGGTGATGAGCATAGACAGGTACCTGGTGGTCTTGGCCACCGTCCAATCCAAAAGGATGCCCCATCGCACCTACCGCGCAGCACGAATTGTCAGCCTATGCATCTGGGCCTTGGTTACCATCATCATTCTCCCTTTCTTCATCTTTGCCAACGTCTATGTAGATAACCTACAGATCAAGAGCTGTGGTCTAAACTTCCCCAAACCCGAGAAGTTTTGGTTCAAAGCCAGCAGGATCTACACCCTTATTCTTGGCTTTGCCATTCCCGTGTCCACCATCTGCATTCTGTACACCATGATGCTGTACAAACTGAGGAATATGCACTTGAATTCAAACGCGAAAGCCCTGGACAAAGCCAAGAAAAAGGTCACCATCATGGTCTTCATCGTCCTGGCCGTGTGTCTCTTCTGCTGGACCCCCTTCCACCTGTCCACCATCGTGGCTTTGACCACTGACTTAACTCAAACCTCCCTGGTCATTGGGATCGCCTACTTCATCACCAGTTTGAGCTATGCCAATTCATGCTTGAATCCTTTCTTGTACGCTTTCCTGGATGACAGTTTCCGGAAAAGTTTTAGAAAGATGCTGGAATGCAGAGCAGCTTAAAAGATGGGCCGTGCCACTCTGTTCCCTTCCCTCTCGTGGCTTTGCAGGGGCGACCTCGCAAACTTTTCCGTGTCTGGCTGAAAAATAGACAAGCTATACGTCTTGTTTCGTTAGGCTTTTTGTTGAATGACTATGTATGTCTGTGCTGTTTCTTTTGCATTTTCATAACTAATAATAAAGTTTCATGTTCTTTGTATGACTTTCACAATCAAAGTGGGGGGAGGTTGTTGTCTTGTTTAGGGGGCACATTCTGAAATACTGAAGGCAACCTTTTTAGAAAATGTACTCTTGCCATCTCATGGTCTTGTGTTGCCACCTGCTGTACAATTGCAGAAGAACTGGGTCGCTCAAAGGGCTGAAGCTATCATGCTAAAAAGATCAGCCTTTTAAAGGTGTGCTTAGCTTTTTGTTATTAATCTACCTGCTGTAGGCCAAATTGTTATAATGCTGTAGGAGGAGTTGCCAGATACATTTCCACATTATAAAAATGGACTTTAATGATGAGATAAAATGGTGCATTTGAAGAAACCTGCATCCCTCTGTGTGTGTGTGTGTGTGTGTGTGTGTGTGTGTGTGTGTGTGTGTGTGTGTGTGTGTGTGTTGGACATAATTTGATTTCAGAGGAGAGTCTGTTTTCCCCTAAGATTTCGCCTTACCTCATCTGCTCACGTGAAACAAAGTAAAAAGAAGTGTCTGAAAGTTGCAATATCTGAACTAAACAATATACAAATATTGTGGTGATAATTTGTGTAGTAGCAATGTCAAGAAGTTTCTTTTCTTTTTTAATGTTTAGAAAGATAATCTACGTTCAAGTGTGTGATGAAATAAATGACCTTGAAAAAGTGTCTGGTCTTTCTACTAGAAGCAACATTTTTTAGGAAACATGGTTACCTTACTCATCCCAATCATCGCTGCCATGTAAATTTCATGCCACCTGATTTATAACCCTGCATTGTTTCTTATAACAGAGCAAAGACATGCTACATATCACAAGAACAGCCCTAGAAAAAGTGTCACCGAGAGACTTTCATTCCACCCAGCAAATGCTTAACTTGAAACAGGTGAGTTGAGCTGTTAATATTCATATTTATTATTTGTTTTATTGTAGCGCTTAGGAGTCTTTGTCATGAGCCACGGCCCTGCTGTGGTAGGCACTGTATCATCAATATCTCAGGGAGAGAGGAAGATCGATTTCAGGTAGTAAAAGAATTGCCAGTAAAAGAGCTTCCCCCTTCTAAAACTAGGCTGGTGACACTTCAGCACCCAAGTAAAGTGCTCTGAGCTCTGTGGATGAAGAGTGGTTATTAGAACCTTTCCGCAGGTCCCCATCTGAGGTGCCCTGATGCAGTCCAGGAGGCAATCAAAAGCCAAGAGCAACATAACTCGAGCATGTTTTAGTGCTAGTGTAACCCACACACCTGGCTCGGGTGGTTCACTGTCCCACGTAGTGGCATTTAGACCACTTACAGAGAGACAGAGAGAGAGAATGAGTCTGCTGTACAGCTGGCTTTTAGCTCAGGCTATAGACGCTCATACGCAAAGCTCCAGAGAGCCCAGGTTTGGTTCTGCCTGGCAGCATGACACTAGGATGCTGGATAGGTCTACCCTTCTGTGGGCATGCAGACGTGAACACAGCATGCCCAGCTGGCATGGATAGGAGCAGCAGTGTAGACAGAGAAGCATTGCTTAGACAAGCAGAGTGCCCAGCATACCCCCTGACCCGTTTATGTGCCCTACACTACGCCTCCCATAGTGACATGGTTATTTTTAGCAGTGTGGTATCCTGCTGCCATGGCCGGATCCTTTCCCGGCTGCCTCCCCCAGCAGAGCCTTTCCATGCTGCAGCGCAAGCATCAGCATAGCTTAAGAAAGCCCAGTGAGAAAAATCTGTTGCTGATCAGTTTCATTGAGTTTTCCTTTGTGCTAGTGTCATGGGATTGGCTCAATTGGGATACCTGTTGGTTCTCTACACCTTTCATTATTCACTCAGTGCACAGTCAACCTGTGGAACTCCTTGCCAGAGGATGTGGTGAAGACTAGGACTTTAACAGGGCTCAAAAAAGAGCTAGATAGATTCATGGAGGTTAGGTCCATCAATGGCTATTAGCCAGGATGGGTAGGAATAGTGTCCCTAGCCTCTGTGACAGGAGACGGATCATGTGAGGTTTAACTGTTGTGTTCCCTCCCTCTGGGGAATCTGGTATTGGCCACTGTTGGCAGACAGGATACTGGGCTGGATGGACCTTTGGTCTGACCCATTATTGCTGTTCTTATATGTTGAAACTCTCTAGTCCGGCACTCTCTGGTCCAGCAACATCCGTGGTCTGGCATGATTTTAGTTGGGGGTTGTCCACTTCACTCGAATGTAGCCAAGTTTCCTGCAGTCCGGTAAAGTTTGTTTACAGCCACCAGTCCTGGCTCTCAGGCTGTGTCTAGACTGGCCAGTTTTTCCGGAAAATCAGCCGCTTTTCCGGAAAAACTTGCCAGCTGTCTACAATGGCTGCTTGAATTTCCGCAAAAGCACTGACTTCCTACTGTCTGAAATCAGTGCTTCTTGCAGAAATACTATGCTGCTCCCGTTCAGGCAAAAGTCCTCTTGCGCAAAACTTTTGCGCAAAAGGGCCAGTGTAGACAGCTCAGATTTGTTTTCCGCAAAAAAGCCCTGATGGTGAAAATGGCGATCGGGGCTTTTTTGCGGAAAAGCGCATCTAAATTGGCACGGACGCTTTTCCGAAAAAGTGCTTTTGCAGAAAAGCGTCCGTGCCAATCTAGACACTCTTTTCCGCAAATGCTTTTAACGGAAAACTTTTCCATTAAAAGCATTTCCAGAAAATCATGCCAGTCTAGACACATTATTATCTGTAATGTGCCCATAATGTCTTCTAAGAGCCCAGTAAGCTGTGCAAGTGTTGGTAATGTTGCTAGACAATATTGCCTTCCTCTGATCTGGCAAATTCTGTGATTCGGCATCGGTCAGGTCCCGAGGGTGCCAGACTAGAGAGGTTCAGCCTGCACATCTCTATCTTCCCTCCCCTGCATGGAAGGCAGTGTTTAAGTGCAGAGTACCGTGGTTTGGGGTTGGTGCACAGCATTGCTAACAATCCCACCCTAACTCCTAGCTCTGGTGGCAGAAAAATGACATGTTGTGGGAAATGTCCACATTCCCAAACCAGATCCCATTTTGCATGGGAATGAAAAGTTGAGATGACAAAAAAAAATGTGCAAACTGAAAAATTCGAAAAGGTTTTAAATCAGAGATACTGAAACAGAAAATGTAGACATTGCCGTCAAAACAAATTGATTTGATGTGTTAGTGACGTTTGTCATTTCAGTTCTAGTTCTTACAGGCAGAAAACTGAAAAAAAAAATATCCAAAACATGTTTTCTGTGCAAAATGTCAATTTCAACACTTTTCCAGTGGGAAAATTTTGACCAGCTCTAATTAGCAAGTTGTCTCACAAAACAGATGTTGAATCCTTAGCTGAGCTGATCCTCATGCTGCACTAATTACAGGAAAGGGCTCAAACCTTAATCCAGGGGTTCTCAAACTTGTGATACCTCTCAGTTGCTCGCGACCCCCCTCTAATTTGTTTGTGATCCCCCTCTAAGTCACTCGCGACCCCCCTGGGGGTCGGGACCCACAGTTTGAGAAACACTACTTTAATCCAAGATAACTAAGTGTTGTGCTAGGCATGAATCATTAGAGAGCAGAGAATTTTTTCTCAGGTGACTGGCTGGTGGGTTTTGCCAAAATACTCATGGTCTGACTGACCCCACGTTTGGGGTCGGGAAGGAATTTTTGATGGGTCAGATTTGCAGCGGTCTTGGGGGTTGGGTGGGCAAGGTTGCCTTCTTCTGAAGCCTGGAGCATGGGTCACTTGCTGGTTTCAACTCAAACAGAAACTGTGTGTCTATTACAGGAGTGGATGGATGAGGTTCGGTGAAGCAACCCATCTCCTGGTCTCGCACTGCCACTGCTCTGACTGCTAGGCATGACTGCTCAAGCTATGAGTCTAAGAGGGCTTTGTTTGGGGAGGTTGTGTTGTTATGCCAACAGAAAAATGACTTTGTGTGTGGGCTGCATCTAAGCTAGAGGACTATGCTGGCACAGCTGTGTCAACATAGTCTCTGGAGTGAAGATGCACCCTCACCTTTCATATGAAAAGCATTTCAAGTCCTCAGGTTTGCAGAGAAAGAGCTAAAAACATGACCTGAGTGCATCCTCTAGGCTCAGAAAGCAAAGACACATAAAAGACCCAAAAATAAATTATGTATTTCTTTTTCAACTCATTATTTTAAGCCAGTCTCATGATTTTTTTTATTTGTCTCCTGATGCTGGTGCACCTGAGGTTGGCCGTGTTCCCAGGACAAAGAATTTTGCACTGACATAGCATTGCTGGGAGACTAAGTTTCATTTTTGTTATTCCAGGAAATTAAGGAGGAGGCAGCAGGTGGCAGGAGGCTACGGAGTTAGCAGAAGGTTGTATACATTCTGGTTGATACAAGTGGCATGTAGACAATATTTTTGTCCCTCGGTAAGTAACAAGTTTCTTTGTGAGATTGCTGATGTTTGACAGGCATACACCATGCATCTGGGTTTTCCTGGATGTGACCTCTTTCAGACATCCAGTTTGGAACACCAGAAAAATCACAGATTTTTTTTAATATTTCCAAAATCTGCTCAGAGGAAGATTTGAAGACCAAAAAAGAGGTCATGACTGGGAAAACCTGGGCGGCTAGTGATCCTACTCATGACCTCCCTACACTCACCTTGTGACCCCTTTCTGAGTTGGGAGCCCGCAGATGGAGAAAAGCTGTACTTGGGTACTCCCCAATAACCCTGAGGTCCAACATAGCCAAAAGTTTCTGGTAAACGATTTCCCGCGATTTCCACTCAATAGGTAGGGCTCTACCAAATTCATCATGCATGCTCATCAGTTTCACCACCAGAGGTTTTCCAGATTGGACAACTCCACAATTTCAGAAGTTTGCCTCAGAAATGTCATGACGTTCTAACCATGTGGACCTTAATCCAAAACAGGATTGTGCGCGGTGGGGGTGAGAAGTTTCCAAAGTTGTTTTGCAAAGGGGGTCCCAAAAATGCCACCTTCGCTTCTGTGCAGCCCTCAGGACAGGTGTAAATTAGGTTCCATCCTCATTTCTACACTGCCTCTCAGGGTGTGTCTAGACTACAGAGTTTTGTCGACAAAAGTGGACTAAACCTGCGTCTACACTACCGCTGAGTTCTGTCGACATAACATCGACAGAACTCAGCAGTTTTGTCGACGCTGGTAAACCTCATTTTACGAGGAGTAACTCCTTTTGTCGACAGAGTTCTGTCGACAGAAGGCATTATTACATCTAAACTGTCCTTTGCGTCCACACTGTTATGTCGACAAAGTGGTTTGCTTTGTCGACAGAACTGAATGTAGTCTAGACGCTCTTTGTCGACAGAAGCTTTGTCGACAGTATCTGTCGACAAAGCTTCTGTCGCCAAAACCCTGTAGTCTAGACGTACCCTCACTGATCTCCCCCACCAAGAGTGACTGTGTTGGGGAAGGACAACTCTTGTCTCTCCCCAGCCTGGCCAGACTAGCAGCTGGGTGCCCAAGGCTCCTAGCAGTATGGGGAGATCGGATTTTATGGTGCAGGGCAGATTTCACTTTTTTCACAGCTGTGAAATTGATAGGGCCCTTGTCAGGTCCTCACGGACCTTTTTCCCCATAAGGATCTGCACTTGATGGTAGATTCCTTTAGAATGTTCTGGCCATGCTACGAACACCAAGGGGAGGTCTTCAATCCACGGCATGTGCTGTTTCTGTCTTTCCAGCAGCATGGATTAAGGGTGCCGGCAGCTCAAGCTCTGGTGAAAAAAGCATGAGGAGGAGGCCCTCTTGGTCTTTTCAAGTCTTCAGCAGATCTGTGCGCGATGGCCTATGACTTGTTTCTTTTCTCTGCATGGTAGATTTCATCATCAACTGCTCTTGCCCTGTTGATAGCCTTGAATGATCCTCGTCCCTTGGCCAGCAGTTTTGACTTCAAGGTTGGCAGCATCAATCAACCCTCTCCCTGGGCTTCAAGTTTTACATTCTGTCCCTTTGTTGTCAGCCTGTTCCTGATTCTGAGATGTCAGCGCGTTCTCCCACAACAAAACCCTGTGGGGGCTCCACGTTTTCCCTTTGACAGGACTTGGACTGTACCATGTTGGTTGTTCCTTGACCTGGCTCCTCCCATGCCTTGCAGAGGAGATCGAGGCTCATGTGGGGCTGCCTCTCATAGAACGGGGGAAAGGGGCAGCAAGGGATAAACCAGGCTGGGTGATGGGGATCTGAGGCTTTGGCCTTCTGGCTGGTTCACCAATTGAATTGCAGATTCACAGAGTGCAACACAATGCGCCATCCCCAGTGTCCCCACAGAGGGAAGGGCCTGCAGCCCCCTCTGGTTCCTGTGAATGGCTCAGGGCTTATCACACCTCTGCCCGCTCCTCCTCCCCCATGGAGGGGAAAGGGGCCTGGATCCCCCCATGAAATGGGTGGTTAGTGTAAGAGCCTGGGTCCTCCCTCTCCACTGGGCACATGCCTCCCCCAGGATCCTCCAGCTGTCAGAACAAAGGGGTCCATACTCTTAGGCAGCGGCAGATATAGGGCAGGGCGAGCGGGGCGGCTGCCCCGGGCCCCGCATTTCAATAGGCCCCATGCACGCTACTTCCGGTCGGCTGCAGCCGAGGTGCATGCACAAAATGCTACTTCCGGTCGGTTGCTGCCGAGGCACATGCGTGAAACGCTACTTCCAGTCAGCTGTTTCCGAGGCGCCTGCGTGAAACGTTATTTCTGGTCGGCTGCTGCCGAGGCGCATGCGCGAAACGCTACTTCTGGTCGGCTGCTGCTGAAGCGCATGCACGAAATTGTGACCCCCCCTGGGTCCCGCAGCACTGCCTTGGGCCCCGCAAAATTATCATCCGCCCCTGCTCTTAGGCAAAGCCCTGCTCTCAGACCTGTGGCAGCTACTGCTGGCAGAACCTCTCCTGCAGCCGGGACTCCTGCTGCACCTTCTCCAGCATCTTCCCCGGCCAGTCTCTGGTTTTCTGCTGTCTCCCCATTCAGAGCGGTCTGGCTCGGCGGGGCAGGGTGCCAGTGCAATGGGGCATCCCCTGGCCAAAATGGGGAGGACGTGACTCCGGCTCACTCAGCTCAGTGGGGCTGTCAATCCGCTCCTCGTGCCCAGGAATCTGGAGACCCACCGTGTGCTCAGGCCGGTCAGGGGGTTGGTCTGTTGGCCTCTTCGCCCCTTGCTGGGGTCTATCCCGGGATAGTGCTCTAGCAGGCTGCTGACCGGAGTTCCTTTCTCCTGCCTGCTCACCCCTCTTCGGCAGCCCTGCCAGTCGCATTCCCAGCCCTTTGGTCCACCCTGCTGCCGTTAGCCGGCCAATCAGCAGTGGCTGGCAGTGCCTGGATTAACCCTTTGGTTTCTGAGCTAGTGTGTGGGCACATACGCTCCATGGAAGGCTCGCTTTGAAACTCTTCCTCCAGCTGGAGCAGGTTCTGTAGGGGCAGCGGGGCAGGATCCCAGTGGCGCAGGCCTGCTTCCTAACCCCGCCTGGCTCCATGGGGGGGGCTCTACAGCCCACCAGAGGCACCCAAAAAGGGGCAGCCCCTGCAGAGCCTAGGGTACCTGGTGACAGGATGAGATGGAGCGGAGCTGGCGCATCACTGGGGCCCTGACGTCCTCCTGTCTCACGAGAACAAGGGCGGGTCAAAGGTTTGGCTGCCCCGAGGAACCAGGGAGGATTAAAGGCAACTGGCACCCTGGGATGGATTCGTCTTCCTCTCTAGTAACATCCAGAGCCAGACCCCCCCACACACCCCACTTAGGAGGAGCCCCTGCCTCCATTCCCTCATCTCCCTATGACACCTGTTCCTTACCAGCTTCTCGCTGTCCAATTGCTTGGTCTGGTGTTGGTGGCCGTGTTCTTCCACTCCCATTGGGGTGCATCCTAGAGAGCAGGGCTCTCTAGGGTGGGTGGAGTGTCCTTGGTGCCTGGGGAGGGGGGTTAATCCTAAATGGAACAGGGGGAGAAGGAGAGAGACAGACTCATCCTCCAGCTGGGGCCAATCTCAGAGTATTTGGCGAGTTTCAAGAGGGCTCCCATCACCCAGTGGGGGACAGTCTCAGAGGGGAGGTGGATCGTTACTTCTGGGGTCCCATTGCCTGGCTTCTGTCAGTGTCACTTTTCTATTGGGGCCCATGTCCCAGGGGGTTTCCTTACTGCTGGTGGAGCAGCTGTTTGTAGATCCCCTCCCTGCCAGCCGGCCGGTATCCATGGCTCAGTCACTGATGAACAGTTGCAGTGAAGCCACCAAGCTCCCTAGTTTGAGGAACGGTGCTGAGCTCTAATGGAAGGGAAGTGGGGGGGCTCATCAGGGAAAGCTCAACAGGATGTTGACAGACCCCTCGCTGGCTCAAAAGCCCTTGGTCAGAAGACGGGAGTGACTGTGAGGACAGTCCCCATCCTCCTCCCAAGTCTCAGTGCTGGTAGAAGAGCTGATTCCCTTCGGGCCCACCTGGTTCTCTCAGAAGGAGTCTCCATCTCCTGGACCCCCTGGCGGCAGCAGGGAAGTTTGGGCAGGGGATTTGAGACTCTCACTCCTCAAGCCAGCCAGGGCCCTGACAAAATTCCATCTCCTTCCCCTGTCCCTGAAGAAGGAAGGGCCCTACACACCCTGATGGCCCTGACCAAGGATGGTCCACTGGGGTGCAGGCTAGAAGGACAGACTAGAAAATGGGTTTCCAGTCTCCCCTTTCCAGGTCCCCCCATCCAGCACTAAGGTAAAACTGCTCCTGCCTCTCCTGACCATGCTCACCTCCAAGATGTAGCAGAGCCTGCCTGTGTCTGAGGACTCTGCCAACAGGTGCCCCAGCCTGGCCTGCCTGAGGTCAGACAAGGCCTTGTGCAGAGCCCACAAAGGCAGGAACAGCCATGGCTCACAGTTGGGAAGTTGGGAAAACTGATTCCTGTTAAAAGCCCCCTGCTTGGCCAATCAGCATCAAGACTCTAAGAACTGGGAGGCTGAGAGGTCTCAGCAGATGTCCCAAAGGATGGGCCAGGTCACCACCAGAGGGGATCAGTCTCAGAGCACTTCCACCCCACCTATGTGGGACAGCCTCCTACAAAGCCATAAGGGGTATCTCTGAAGTCACCTCTGTCCTGCCTGGCTGATGTCAGGGTCTCTCTGTGAGGTCACCACCTCCCCGCCACTGTCCTCCAATAGGCTGTGGTCCTGTAACAGGCCTTTGTGATGTCACTACCACACCCACCCTTCTGCTACAAGGCTGATGTCCTGCCCTCGCCAGCCCGTTGGGACTCACTGACTCATCAGAATAAAGTGCTCTCAGATGAGCTGCAAACCAACCATTGCTCATCGTCAATATTCAGGCAAGTATTGGAGAAGAACTGGAACAATAGAGAGAATCAGCAACTGCCCACAGACAATAACGGCCGAGAAGCAACACGATCAAATATGTGATTGTTTGTGACTTAAAGTGATTGCTTGGCCTTAAAGAGAACAAAAGGACCCGAGTCTTCCCTGTCAGTACCTACTGCTCTGCCAATCAACATCAAGATTCTGAGACCTGGGAGGTGGGGAAGTCTCAGCAGAAGTCCAAAAAGATGGCCCAGGTTCCAGGCTCTGAGTACTCTTGCACCTCTTTGTGAAGGCCTCCCACAGAGACAGTTCACACACACACCTCTCCTTGGTGGAGGCAGGGAAGAATGGAAAAGGGAGAAAAGAATCAAGAGAAGAAGAGAAAGAGGGATGGAAGGAGGAAAAGGGAAATCTAAACGGACAAACCCCCAATGCCCCCAGCAATTCTGTGGGACAAAGTTTTAGGTAGGAAATCAAATCACTTTACCCTAGTGTTTTCTATGCCTAGAATTCAGCTGGCACCAGGTGGACCAGATGGGACAGGTTCTGAGGCTCTTACCGTCTAAACAGGAACTACAAAACCAGTAGTAGGAAAGGAGGATAAAACCCCAGTGAGGTTGCTCTTCATACTAATTCTCTCTCAGTCCCCAAGAAGAGACCCTGAGAAGGAGTCTTGCTGTTGCAAAACCATAGGAGTTGCTGAGGTTGCCCCTGCCTTGCTCCTCTGTCCTGCCTGGCTGATGTCGGGGTCCCTCTATGTGGTCGGCGCCTCCCCACCACTGTCCCCCAATCGGCTGAGGTCCTGCAACAGGCCTTTGTGACGTCACTGCCACACCCACCCCTCCCTTGGAAGACTGGTGTCCTGACCCTGGTCCGCCTCTCTGGATGTTTGAGCGGCTTCCCCGGGATCATCCCAGTTCATGACAGCTGAGTCTGGGGATCAAGCTGGCTGCACAGTAAGGGCACGTTGACACAGCCGGGCTGAAGTCGAATTAAGCTACACAACTTCATCTACGTCAGTTGTGTAGCTTAAGTCAAACTAGCTTAACTCAGCTTTTGACACTGTCTACACAGCAGGAAGTCGAAGGAAGATCACTCTTTCTCCGTCTTCCCTTACGCCAGTGAAATGAGCAGGGCTCGCCGAACCGCGGTAAGCCCAGCTTGCCAGCCGCGCTGTCCAGCGATCTACGCATGCGCAGATTGCCGGAACCCGATCTCCTCGCCACGAGCGAGTAGATTGTATAATTTGTCGAGCCTTGGAAATGAGGGTTACCAGGAGTTGGAGTAAGAAATCCTCCAACTCAACATTATTATGAAATAAAGGCTTGTAGTGTAGATACACACTCTGTTATTTTGGAATCATGGTAGTTAGCTGCTGTGTAGATGTACCCTAAAACTCCAGAGGCTGAGCCCTACTCCTCGCCACGAGCGAGTAGATTGTATAATTTGTCGAGCCTTGGAAATGAGGGTTACCAGGAGTTGGAGTAAGAAATCCTCCAACTCAACATTATTATGAAATAAAGGCTTGTAGTGTAGATACACACTCTGTTATTTTGGAATCATGGTAGTTAGCTGCTGTGTAGATGTACCCTAAAACTCCAGAGGCTGAGCCCTAGGCCACACTAAGTTTTTCATTAACTAGTAGACTTTAAGGCCAGAAGGGACCATTAGAGCATGAAATCAGACCCCTTCACATCCCAGCCTTCCTGTAGATCATAGTAGCTAAGTTTTGATCCAAGCACACACCAGAGAGACATCTCGTCTTTATTGGAAGCCATCAAGAGACGGAGAATCTGTCACTCTCACTGTGAAATATTTGTGCTTTATTTCTAATATGAATGCGTCTGTTTTCACCTTCCAACCACTGGCCTTGTGCTGCCTTCTTCTGCAACATTAAACAGCCCTTTAACATGACATTTTCTCTCCAGGAAGACACTTAGACACTTCAATGAAGTCACCTCTCAGCTTCCCTTTATAGAAGCTAAACAGACCTGGGCTCCACTTGATAGCGCACAAGAAGGCGTTTTTCCTCAGCCTTCACAACACTGGGCTCTTTGCTGCCCCATCTCCAATTTTTCAACCTCTTTTTGAAAAAGAGCAGGCTGCAGGGTCCAGTCTCAGTCTCACGGATTCTGTGACACCTGCCTGCCCTGCTCCCTCCTCTGGTCGTGTGACTAGTGATGGCTGTAGCCGTATTCACCACAGCATCCCCTGGGGGATCCTCTTGAGCGGCTTGCCCAGCATGACCCTAAATCCTTCTCAGAGTCCCTGCTTGCCTGGGGTCAGTTCCCCCTCCCGGGGGTGTGGCCTGCAGGCTTTGGGGCTAAGGTAGGACCCTGCATTTGGCTCTGTGAAAACCTGTTTTGTTCGCATGGGCCCAGCTTCCCAAGGGACCCAGCTCGCTTCACGTCACTGCCTTGGCCTCAGCCTTGTTTCCTACTCGGCTGGAAGTTTGTCACCCACACGTGGAACCAGCCGGGATTCTGTATTTTCGTCCAGTTCATTGATAATTATTTAAACAGTTAATCCCTGAGAGCCTCTGTAGACCCCCAGTGCCAAGCCCCTGCCCTTCGCTGAATCTTTTCCAGGTCCACTGTCTGCTCTTTGAGATGTGCCAACAACAACAGGACAGAGTATTCTGGGTGCAGGTGTCCCATGGACTTAGATAGTGGCACGAAGAGATGGGAGGGGTGACTGAGACCCATACGTAGGGTGACCAGGCCCTGGTCTACACAAGGGAGTTCTTTCGAAATAACCCCCCTTATTCTGAAATAATAAGTGGAGTGTCCACACTAAGCTCGTTATTTTAAAATAATAAGCAGCGTTATTTTGAAATCTGTACTCCTGCTTTCCTCGGGGAATAACGCTTATTTCGAGATGGCCGTCGTGGGGACACTCTGCTGCTGCTATTTCAAAACAACTACTCGCCAGCGTTAGTCATAAGAATTACTCCCCAGTGCTTCCTGGGGCTCTAATTTGAGGTAGCGTGTCCACAATAACGGAGCCTGCCTCGGACTCATTTTGAGGCTCTTCCGTAGCGGGGACACGCGATTTTCATTTTCTTATTTTGGGAGTTATTAAGTTGAATGTAATTATTTCAAAATAATTTCCTAGTGTAGATATATCCTAGATGGCCTACTTTTAAAGGGGCAGTCCCATATTGAAGCCTTTTTGCAGGTGTCTCTACTTTTCTTTTTTAATGGCAAAATGGCCTCTATTTTCTGTCTGTCCTCTTCCACTGGTGGGTCCTATTGCTGGCTACTGCCCACTCACCAGCGGTAAGTGGTGGGGAGGACGGTCCAGTGGCTGACAATAGGGGTCCGTGAACAAGGCTGGTAGTTGGGCAAAGCTGCAGTGTGCAGGGCCGGCTGCGCCCCCTGCTGGCCCATCAGTGGAGTCCCTGCTGCGTGCTCGTTCTCAGCCTGCCCCCTCTCTGGCTGGATTGGTTGAAGCCCCTGAAGTCAGGTTCCCTGGGCCCTGGTGCTCAAGGCATAATTAGGGTTTAACCCCTTCCTGCCCGTGCTGTAGCTAGGGGACAGGAGGCAGCTGGGTTGTATCAGTGGCCAACAGCAGCTTGGAGGTGGTAGCTGCCTTTCGACTCTGTGCGGGTGGGACGGGGCAAGCTGCTTCTAGCCACAGAGCAGTGGGATGGGAGGGAAGAGCTGACCTCTGGAAAAACACAGGCCAGGTCACCCCTACTTCTGCCCTCAACCTCGTTCCTCTGAAACCAGCTTCCTTCCCCTCCCTCCCGCACAGCACCAAGAGGCTGCTGCTGGATGTGCTCTGCTGTGAACCCCGACAGAAATCTGGGGAAGGATCATGTGACTTTGCGTATCTCTCACATGTTGCCTTGAGAAGATGTGGCACCAGGTCCCAAAAGGGGGGAGGGTGCATGCATGCCCAGCTGGGCATAGAGGTTGAAGAGCACTGGGCAGGGAAGTTTGGGTCAGGTCAGGTCAGTCAGTCACGTCCATACCTGGGTGAGAGAGGTGTACAGGGCTGGGTGTGTCACCTCTCCTCCTGCAAACCTTAAAGATAAGAAAGTAAATGAAACGACACCAGCGAGGCAGCATTTCTTTCTAACAGGAACTCAGTCAGCTTGGTGTTAATTTGAATGTGTGTACTGCCTAGGTCTGATTGATTGTCACTGAACTCACTCGAGTACAAGTAATTTTACCCGGCGTCCCGTATTCAGTATAGGGAAATATGGTCACCCGAAGTAGATAGGTCGATAGATAGATAAGCATCGACTAGGGAAGCGATGACATTGCTTTAGAGGCCGGAAAGGGAGCTAGTCTCTGGAAGTTTGGGGTGTGTCTACCCCCAGGTTAGTCTTCGAGGTGGTAGACGTGTGAGGGTAGGAGTGTTAGCAACAGTCTGAGGAAGCTGGGGGAGACTTATATGTAGGAAGTGCAGGCTCGTGGGTGGCTATGGTCATCTTTTAAGCCCAGATCTGCTAGCAGATCGAAAGTATTTGTTTAACAAAGCTCTCAGCCTGAAGGGAGACGCCATTTTGGAGGATCTCCTTTTCTTTAGCAACTGTGCCCCCTAGTGGGAAATATATATTGGTCGACCAGGGTTTCCCAACCTATGGGTCGGGACCCAAATAGAGGTCGCCATTACATTTCAAAAGGGTCACCAGGTGTCTCCTCAGGTGGCTCTTAAGGAGCCATTCACACATTTTTTGAATTGCCCTGGATCACCAAGTCTTCCTGACTTGTCAAAATGGGTCCCCATCTGGAAAAGTTTGGGAACCGCTGCTATAGACTATAAAAACAACCAGTAGTCCTGTAGCACCTGCAGCTACGTCTACACTGCAACAGTATTTCGGGACACCAGAGTATCCTGAAATAGCTATCCCACATCTTCACAGCAAAACCCGTTATTTTGGGCTTGCTGTTCCGACATCCCTGTAAACCTCATTCTACGAGGAGTAAGGGACATTTTGGAATAGCGCTTTATTGTGTAGACGGCGCCAAATGAGAAAATAAGCTATTTCAAAATAGCATTAAAATAAGATACGCTCACTTTCGGAAGTAGTTTTTTCGGAAGATCTCTTAAAATGGATCTTAAAATGAGGGAGGAAACAACCGTAAGTCCTGTGGCACCTTATAAACTAACAAAAAATATATATCTAGTATTATGAGCTTTTGTGGACAAAACCTCTGCTCACTTGTAAAAGTGAGTTTTGCCCATGAAAGCTCATGATACTATATATATATATATATAAAAGTCTCTCAAGGTGCATCTACACTGCACTGCACTGTAACTCAAAATAAAATACACAATTTGAGCTACACAAA